TCGATTTTCCCCCACCTCCTCGGTTATTGCCGCACACTCCCCCCTCCCTTTCCCACCAGGACGCCGTCCTGGATCCGTCTATGATTTTAAAAGGAAATCTAAACAAATTCCATCCATTTGCTACCCCGGACGCACGGATTAAACAGAATAAAGTTTAAACAACTTACACAGTATCCGTACCACCATTCGTTATTACATCTTCCGATTTTTGCTGCTCTGCCAGAACTAACCCGTTATCCTGGAAAATGCACATAAATATACCATAAACAAACAAAAATAAGCACAGACTCCCAAAGTAAAAAAAGAATTAGTTTTTGGAACATGAGATTTCACGAAAAAAAAAAGTACACCAATACTAACATGTATAATTTGATCACGCTGTGCGATTTCGGCTCGTAATGCCATATGCTGAGCATTCAAACCATCCACTGTACGCTTGAGCAATTTCACCTCCTGCGAATGTAACAACTGTTATATAAAAGAATACAGTTCATCAAACAGAACGTATAAAGCAATTCATCAAACAAGACATATGCATATGCTATATGTTTCGTTAAAAATAAAAAATTGTAAATTAGTGTATTAATTTTGTACTATATGCTTTCTTTTTTTTTAGAAAAACCATGGCCTACATATATATTTTGTTTTATGCATAAAGGTATTACGGACACAACCGGTCCCCAAAAAACCAAAAGTGCTGAGCAGCAAATCCGAATTCCAAAGCCAGTGAGGCAATTGTCGTGAACAGAGCCTCTTTTCAAAATGAGTATGGACCAGGGCAGGAACCGAACCACCCCCTTCAAATCCTTATACGCTGCGCTAACCATTACACCACCGACCTTTATGTTCCACAGTCAGCCTGGCAGCACATCTACTGCGTATCTGCCTTTTAAAACAGTATGCACCCTCTCCGTTGCCCTCTATAAGCAGTGTACATTTTTTCCCAGTAGCAGGATTTTCGGTTAGCTTTTCGCGAGTTTTCGGTTTTCACGACATCAGAAATATCAGAAAACGAAACGAGTGATAACTTCCTTTTAGTTTCGACAAGTAAAGGATAAATTTTACATTTTTAAATTCCTGTCGTTAGAAATTCAAATTTCAAATATTCTCAGGGATTTGTATGCGGAAGATAAACTTTCTATATTCTCAGGAATGCATTTCAATTAACATAAGTACATATTTCTCGCAATTACTTCTTAGTATAGTGAAACAATGCAAGCCCGGCTGGTTTGCTCATATTAGTGGTAATGCAACGTCACTAAACATCATGCTTGGGGGAGGTTAGGGAAGAATGGCATTTTCCTCATTTTTTGAGGAAATCACATCGCAATTTTTATTTCAAAGCATTCTAAACAGCTGCTCTTTTAATTGTTGCACTCTTTCTCACCATCAGTGCAGCTGACAATATTTCCGGCTTACTTGCTTAACATATTCAAATAATTTTATGTAGGCGTACGAATGAAACTCTCTGCTTGCTTGCAGACTGCTTAGCACTTCCTCAACGTTCACATATTATTTGCCTCGTCCATTTTCAAGACTGATTCTTTTGAAAAAATTTCACCTATGCGAATTTGGCAAAACGACGAGGGGAAGTATCACCTGTTATTAAATATTTGCTTCTTGCCCATTCCTCACAAAAAAACCGAATCAGCAAGCTAATAAGAAAAAAGTAGTACATCGACGAGACGATTTATGACAAAAGCGCTAACGGCTACTCGTGGTTTCCACAAAAAAAGGAGGAAAAAACAAAGAAAGCACATCTCCATGAGCAAATTCACAAGATCCGACCTGGCATCTCTTAAAAACCCCGCTTTTTTTGCTCAAGTACCAGTCCTTCAATGTTGAAGAAACTCTTTAATTTGAAGAGAGAAACTTACAGAAGTCAAATCTCGGGATTCTCGATTTGCTTGCGAAAGCAGTTGCTCCTTCTCTTCCATATCATCTTTCAACAAATCAATTTCATAAAGCAACGCCGATTTTTCGTTATCCAACTGCGAATACATGAACATTGCACGTTGGAACTTATCTTGTAGTTCGGATACCTTTTCCTGAATCATAATCATCAGGATGTAATGTATTCACCGATTCCAATGCTTCTAGATTTCCGAAAAAGTTTGCTTCAGGTGAGATAAAAAAAAAACAGCATAAAATAAAGGATTCACACTGTTTTATTCTTAAATCCAGACTTCCAAAGTTTGCTTAAATTGAGAGCAGAAGTGCTACTGATTTGAGAAATTGTCTTAAAATCCAATCCAATGCGTTTTCTTGGTTTACTTCATATAGTTTGAGCTGTCGACAGTTTTACCGTCGAGTGGTTGCTCTTGGTACCTGCTACTGTCCGGAAACTTCCAAGTGTCCTCGTCTTGCAAAAAAAAGAGGTTAACACTTTTAATTTCACTTGTGGCCTTTTTTTCACTGCATTTTTACTCCTGTCGACTTCTTTTTTTTACTCCTGCGGTAATTTTAACCGCAAAGGAATTCTATTTATACAGGAAAAATATCCCATCTGGACGTAAAACGCAAAAAAAAGTAATTTTATGAAAACGAAAATTTTCAACGAAATACGCGTCGTGAGCAACAAATTCAACGAAATGTTGGCTCAGCAATAGATACGTGAAAACTGATGAATGGAATATGAAAAAAGTCAAATAGGTTCTCAACTCCTGCCTAATCCAATCGCATTATCTGCCATTATTAACTAGAAGCATGCAAAGTTTATTATCTAAGCAAACCCATCTCTATTATATTAAAGCAAACTTTAAGAAAACAGAATTTGAATATAAACTCAAAAAAAAAGAAACCTTCAAAGCTTCTCTTTCTTGTGCTTTAGAATCTGCCCGAGATGAAGTTGACGTTGTCGGCGCATTGTCTTTCTGAATCACACCAACAAACATGCACTGCTGGCATTAGTATTTAGAACAAAGTAAAAAAACAAAAGATCTCATAAGTTAGCATGCGCTCTAGTTAAAATAACTCGTTAAATTATTAACTCTTTTTGTTCGATTTTCTGCAAAAAAAAAAACATGTGATTTCAATTCGACAATAAATCTGAGCGCTAAAAAATTTATATATAATTTAATCAGGAAAACCAAAAAAAACACATAACTAAGCAAAAAGAATAGAAAAAAGCACGAAACACTACTCTAAATAAACGAAAATTTGGGCACAAGTTGTGTTTTTGCATCGAAATCCGCTTCTCCTCCCCCCTCCCCCCCCTTTAACAGAAATAGAGTCAAAAGGCCGCAGAAGGCCGAACCAAAACTGGACGGTCCAAGATGCGGTCGCCTAAGAGGATGAAATTGTCAAGTGCTTTTTTATGGCCGTTGGTAGACCGAACTATACATTCTGAAGTAACGGCCCGTACAAACCAAAGGAAATTCAGAACGTCTGAATTCCTTAAATTTTTAAGATGGGAGGGTGGAATTTGCCCAGCGAATTGTGATCGGGCAGATAGCTGGGTTGTTAATGTGGTACAAACCTTAAGACATGTTGGGTACAAGCCCAAACACCTCAAGTATAGGCGAGACCGTGTCAAAGCAACCTTGACTGACGGGGTTGAAGGTGGCTTTTCTTCCTTCTGAGAGATACATGAAAAACTGCTATACCAATACCGATTTACCGCAAACGTAAAGGACCTAAACATTCCTATTCAGGTTTTTTAATCCGTTTTGTCTTATTCACCCTCCTTTTATTCCTTTTTAAACCTTACTTTTTACATAAATACACATTATCTAAAATTAAAATTACAATTGAGAATCAGTCAATTCCACAGAACAGGATTTTCCACTGAAACATTCGGAGCTAAAATCCCAAGCTTTAAAGTATGGGTCATCAATCACTGCGCCAGGCCCACCAGTCCCGTTACATCGAAAATCCTGCTCAATTTAAACACATTTAAAGAAAGTTCAGTGCATGAACGCTTCAACTCTGCAAGTATCAAGGCATCCCTAACTGGATAAGATACCTCATTATAATCTATCAGAGACAACTGATTTGGGAGCTGATTCTCAACACACACATATATACACACAAACACACACACACACACACACACACACACACGCACAAACACATACACACACACGCGCACACAAGTACGCACACTTACACACCTATACAGGCGTACACACACATACATACACACACACACACGCACAAACACATACACACACACGCGCACACAAGTGCGCACACTTACACACATATACAGGCGTACACACACATACACACACACACACACACACATAGATATACACGCATATATACACAAATAGATATACACACCATTAACATCTCAAAAATGCTAAAGTTTTACCAAATACTTCCGTCAGAATAATAGCTGAGCTAGTATCTCCCCCTTCCCTCCCTCCCCCTCCCCCCACCCCCGCCCTCCCCTCTCCCCAAGAAAAAACGATGTCAGGATCGCCGGCAAGCTGATCATCAGGTGAAAATACGCAGCACTGGTCAAAGCAACTGGATTAAATTGTTTCTCGCCAGCTGCATTGTTGGCAAGAAACAATTTAAATTAGCTAACTGTTCCCGGTAATTTAAGTATAAAGCATGGGAAGACGGGGAGAGGGTGAGGGGAGGGGAAGTGGGCGTAACAAATTACAGTAAAAAGAACAGCAGCGAAAACGAAGATGTTATAAAACACCAAAAAAAAAAAATGTGTAAAATCAATATGTCTTTCCATTCTTTCATCCGATGCATCTTACGATGGTTTTTTTTTTTCTCAAAAAAAAAAAAAAAAAAA